AGCCCTAAAGTTTATACACTTTTTTTCAGCCAACCCAAAAGTGTATACACTTTTTGGGCCCCCCCAAAAAAGTGTATACACTTTTTGGCCCCCCCCCCCCAAAAAAAAAAAAGTGTATACACTTTTGGGGGGCTAAATTTAGCCCCCAAATTTAGCCCCAAAAAGGGTCTAAATTCTTAGAGGAGCCTAAATTGACAATTTAGCCCCATTGGATCTATCAGGTAGCCTTGCAAGCAGAAGTCTGCCCCGAATGGACTTTATGCACAAGCAACAGGATGCCCCCTTTACGATTGCTAAGGCCTGAGTGAATGACATTATATGAGGATAGCTGCCACTCTGAGTCAAAGCTCCAGTGAGTTTCTGTCAAGACACAGACATGCACTGTTGAGCCTCAAGTGTGACACTGCTCAAGCCACATCTCAATTTCCAGCAGCTTGGCGACTGTGAGTCCTCCAGCATTCCAGGACACAACTCTCCAACGGCATGGAGGTGTGAAGTGCGAAGGATGAGCGGCTGGGGAGCTGGTTGATGCTGTTTGTGGTGGCACGCTTCGGGAATTGTCTGCAGTGTCTGTGGTCTGGGTGGTGATGGTCTCGGGGCATCCCAGGGTTTGCAGGGTATGCTGATGCCCTCGGTACTTGGTGGTACCATAAAGCTTGGCTCTTTTTACCGCTCTATGAAAAGAGCGTTTGCCGGTTCTGGTAAGCTGTGCGTAGACAGTTCGTGGGATGGGTTCCACTTGTTGACGACGATCGTCAATTTCACGATGCTTGCAATGTGATGTGAGCTAGTGCTGCGTCTTGCAGTGTTTGCTCCAGCAGGTCTCGTGACTTTACCTGCAACCCTCACGTCTGTGGAGACTCCTCTACAGGGCTGTAGCCGTTGAAGAAACAAGGCACAAACGAGTACTCCACTCCGGGACTTGGGGCCCGGACGGCTCTCTTGTTTTTGGGGGGATGATCGACTGTTATATCGTTTGGAATCAGCTAAAGATTCTGAAGGTGGAGGCGGGATTATACGAAGGATAACCATACGCTGCTAGACAAAATGGCTTGCTTATCTGTGCGATGGCTTTAGTCAGGGAGAAGACTGCATGCGGCCACAAGATGCTTCTAGCAGCATTCAAGACCAGAACACTTCGTCGCCTGTAGAAGCGGCTGTCCCAGGCTGGACCGGGGCCGTGGGTGCGAGCCTTCACAGACACTGGATGGTTTTGGACTGCCCGGTGCTGCCATATCGGAGGGTACAGAACCTCCTGTTGAGGGGGCGAGGAGAGGGAATGAGAGAGCTTTTCTCTCTGAGCAGCGACTGTAGGATGTGCAATAGAGCCCTGCCACGCCGAGCCTGCCTGCGGGAGCAGTGCTGTTGCCTGGAACAGCGTATCATCATCAGGTCGTGGGAAGCTGATGTGCAAAACACAGCAGGGCTGAGAGTGCGCACGATTTTTGCCTACACAGCAGCATTGCTCCTTAAGCCGGTAACAGTGAATGCATCGCAGTCCTGTGCGGATCAGCATCTTTGCACAAGCCCTGCTTGGACGGCCTTCGGGCGTCCTCTGGGCAAAGTCAGGTGTTGCTGATGGCGGCTCTACACGACCCCCGATATCAAGAACGACATCATCTTCAGGAAGCCATTCTATATGAGGGTTGGCGTGGGGAACATCATCGTGCTCTGCTGCAGCTACAAACATGGTTGAGCTTGATGACTCCTCAGGCAGTGCAGCCTCAGATGAGGCAACTCTCCAGTTCTTCCCTTTGGATTCAGAGGCTAAGGCTCTGATGTGTGGAGCTTGGCTTTCGATTCCTCAGAGCCATTGACAGTGTGAAGTTCAGGGAGGGAGTCTCTCTGGAGGAAGAGCTGGATGTCGTCTGATGGACATTGATAGTCGGATCCTCTGTGCCATGAGCTGCTTGCACTCCCGAGGAAGGTGTGAGCATCGCTGTCTCTTCAGACGCAGCTAGCTGGGGAAAGTGCCTTCTGAAGTCCCCCACAAGGGCTCCGACCGGTGTGCCTGGATGTCGCCCAGGGTGGGCAGGCTCTAGAGTGTCACCGGTGTTTGCCATTTTTGCCACGGGTGAGCTGGATCCTAACACTGATAGTGCTGCCGCAGGGGCGCTGTAAAGCTTGAACCTCAGGGGGGCTGAGGAGCATTCTGATGAGAGACGGGACGATCCAAGACACCCAGTGGTGCCCTTACTGTCACTCTGCAATCCATGAATGCATGGTTCAGGCCGACATGGAACAGGAGTGTGGGACCAGCTGTAGACGTATGTTACGAGTCGCTCTAGTCCCCACGCGGATTCAATATTCGTGCCCGGGGTGGTTTTGGGTGCTCTCGGAGGCCAACCTCCGCATCGCCCTGAGGCTGCCGTCCTGGAGCATTCATGCAAGTCGACCCTCACAGCTTAAACGAGCACTTATGGGGGGTGCCCAGGCTCCTGTGTACGGTGAGAGTCCGGGTGTGCTTGGGGGGGGATCCTAGGCAAATCAAGGCAGCAAGGCATGTACTCAAGCTCACTGATGCTGGAGCGGTCTCTCTCGCCTTCAGCCGGCGAGGTAGGTGCCAACTCGGGATCTACTGGCTGTACAGCAAGCCTGGGGTCTGTTGCAGGCGCATCGCTTTCCAAGGGGATGTGGCGGATGTGCGCCTCATCTCCATCAGCAGCTCGCGTGGCAGACTGATTCTCTGAAGCTGATTCTGGAGAGCGATGGTGACATCGATGCCTGCGTCTGGAAGACCTTCTCGGCTTCTTCTTTTTCTTTTTCTTCTTGTCCTTCTTCCGCTCATGTGTCTCTGTCTTCTTGCACTTGGTCTCATCCGCGCCCTCTGCTGTGGTCCCTGCCAACGGGCCCGAGGCAGGGCTTTCCGAGACTGAGCTGCGGCTTCGTGGCCGTTTGACCCGGGCCACCGCGATGCTGGTGCTCGAGTCTGAGGCCTCCTCTTGTCGTTGCGAGTCTTCTTGATGAGTGCGACGGCTGCGGGAGGGCATAGATGGGAGAGGAGCTGCTTGAGTAGGTCTATGTGCCAGTGCCTCTTTGATCCATGCCGGCATAGAGGGTAAGGATCGAAGTTCCCCATTGACTTCCACCATCCAGTCATCTGTTCCCTCCATGCTGGCTGTGGCATCCTGAGCAGGGGTGCTCCGCTGGTGGAGAAGGCCCAGCTCCTCCATTGTACCATCGTCCCGTGGATGCACAAGCACTGGTGCAGGGAGGACAGTGGAGTCAGCCTCCTGTGCTGCTGCTGTGGCTGTTCCCTGATCATCAGTCCGTTTTACAGCTGAGGGGCGGGAGGTATTCCGCGCCGGCAGCTGCCTCTTTCTCAGCCTGAGTGGAGGACGGGCTTTGGATTTGACAGCAGATCGTAGTCCAAGTTCGCGAGCTCGTTGTGCCAGCTGTCTGCCGATGGAACCCTTGATTTGTCGAGGTGGAGAAGGTGCTGTTGACACCGGCATTGCCATCTGGTCCTGGCCCCGCTCTGCGTCCTCAGTTGGGGGCTTTGGCATGGACTTGATCTTGGGCTTCGGTGGCAAACGTGGTCGCAGATCAACAGGCATTCTCTCCAGGCTGATCGGTGCAGCTGCTATCTCCCCTTCACTGGGCTCCAGTTTAATCAGCGGTCGGGCTGGCGATGAAGGTCGCTCCTCGGAGGGACTGTTGACTGCCTGAACCTCCGGGGCTGTCTTCGGCTGGGGCACCTCTGACGAAGCTGCCATGGGTCCCGTAGGTGAAGGTGGCCTTGGCGTTTCAGGTGCCTCCGGCGACTCCACAACCACTTCCTCTTCCGAGCTAGACACTGTCGCCGGTGGGGGAGGATATGGCGGCTCCCTTGGGCCAAGTTGTGCCCGCGGCGGTCTTGTAGTAGTTGTCGTACGCCCTGCAGAGAATAGGGTCAACGGAGGTGACATAGCTCTCTGCCTCATATTGGAAGGTCCGGGTGGTGGTGTAGTCGGAGATGCAGGACGGTGACGTCCACCTTTGCCTTTGCCACGTGGCACACCTTTCCTCGCGCCCTTATGTCTTCCTTTGGGCCCTTTGCCCCCTTTTGCTCCCTTGGTCTCCTGCTGTTGTCGAAGCAGATCCCGAGTCCTTTTATCTGGACGTGCTGCTTCCCTGCTATAATCACGCTCTGTCTTTTCTCTGACCATAGCTGGTAAAGTCAAAGTTAACAGGGGGGCTGATGGGAAGTGAGCAGTCTGGCGGGGCAGGAGGAGGATTAGGGCAAGAGTCTCACAACGAAAGCTGTATATTGGGCGGGGTTTGTTAGAAGGTGCAGCCCAACATCTTCTCACTCTAGTTTGCCCTCTGTGAGCCCCGAGGTCTACGGTAGCCCGGGAATTGACATGCATTTCACTTGTGCGATGCAGCGGAGGCAGGTGCAAGGCTACACACAGCTGCTGTGAAGCAGCTGAACTGAAACTTCGGCTGCTGTCTGCAGCAGCCGGGTGGTGAGCGAGCACACGCCTGAGAGCATGATACATTCGGAGGGGAACCTCCCGTCGCCCGAACTCGTGAGGGAGCTGCTGGTATAGGATGCAGACTACAGTCCGGAGTGAAGGTATGTGAATTGAGACTGGGCCTGGCGAGGTTTCTCAGCTCACATGCCAAGAGCACTGAGACAGATTGGCATGTGCTAGAGTCTTCAAGTCGAGGCGGACTGGCTGCAGAACCAGATGTTGTATGTGAGCTCCCTGTAAGGCATGGGCGTATCGTACCCGCTGGGTGACCTGAGCGACCACAGAAGGTCAGTGCACAAATCACAGGTTTGCAGCAAGAATGTGCATGACCCTGGCTGGGTGTTGCATCTCGCGGTTGTTTCCGATTTTGCAAAAAGTCTCGTGCTGAAGTGGCCTTCGCGGATCCGGGCAGACGCTGTTCAGCTTGTTCCGTCCTGTGCCGTCTATGGTGAACCTGGCAGCGGGGGCGGAGGCGGCGCCTTGGTGCTGTGTGATGCCTTCGAGAATGTCGTGGGCTCCATCGGTACTGGCAACGGTGGCGGAGCAATAAGTGCAAAGGGGGTCGTTGTCGATGATGGCGTGGCCGTTGACGAGGCAGGCATGACCGTTGCAGACTTGCAGATCCCATTGTTGATCCCAGTGCCGCCGAGGACAATCGCAAAGTCCAGCATCCCTGGAGATGAATTTCCAAGGTCTGTGGGTGAGGTCCTTGCTCATATCGAAGCTGGTCAAGCGGGGTGGGAAAGACTGTGGCCGTTGACGACATCGGAGAAGAGGGCGGAGGAAGATGAGCTCCTGGTGTCGGGCCTGGGGGATTGGAAGCAAGAGGTCCACCTGTATGGCCCGTAACTTTCGGCACCAGAGGCATAGCCGGTGAGGGCGGTGGAGGTCCCGCCGGCTTAAAGCGGTGGCTTCCACTCTTGGCCTTTGGGGGAGGTCCCCACGCTCCTTCTTCAGAGCTAGAATCAAACATCGATATGCCTGAGGAGCTGGAGACAGGATCATCATCTCTGGCCGACACCGGCACCGGATCTGTCCTTGCTCCTGCCACGGAGACTGTGCCACGGCTCCTCGTTCGGCCTCTTGTCGCCGTCGCCGATGACTTGGCCTTGGGTGTCCTCTTGGGAGGCATGTCTCCGAGCTACCCCTTGGGGATAGTGTGCCTACTCCGTTCCTACGGGGCAGCTGCTTACCGCTCACAGGTGAATGCTGGTTTGAGCCTTCCCATGCCCACAGCAAGGATCGGATCACTTTCCACACAGATGCCTGCTGAGAGGTGGCTGCACAGCAAGAGTGGTGCTCTGTAAACTGTGTGTTGCAAGGGCAGTGGGGCCGCGACCCTGCCACTTCCGCTGCAGGGCAAGCGGTCGCAAGCAACGGCGGGCGGACCTGATGAGAAGCAGACTGTTGTGAGACAGCGGTTAGGGGTGTGGAGGGAAACCTCCATGTGATTTGTAAGGCTGCAGGGCTAAGCTTCGGAGGGGAACCTCCAACGGATCGATGACAGAAGAGCCACTTCTGAGAGACTGGCAACAGAGTGGGCTGCCGGTCCAGCCTGAGATCAAGGGATAGAGGACAATCATGGGGGATCGGTTGAGAAACTGCGATTGTCGGAGGGAGAGAACCTCCATGGTAGTTGTGAGGCGGTGCTATTCTCATCCCATATGTCTCGCAGGAGGGGCTAGTTGAGAGTAGTCGCGGAGGGACACCTCCGGATTCTGCAGCCCTTAAGTCTGACTGGCACAAACACGGATGGGGCTTTGGCCTGAAGCACTGAGGCCTGAGGGCACAAGTGTTCCACAACTGACTGTCCCTGGGTGGCACTGCGGAAGTTGCCCCAATACAGAGCCTGTCGCAGGAATTGTTCTGATGGGTTATGAGCCTGGTGTCGTGACGATGAGGCACCTGCCACACCTGTGACCATCTCCGATGTCCCTGATGAGAGCAGTGTCAGAAGCAGGAGAGTGAGGGCGATGGGTGTTATCCGCCATAAAGCCAATCTGTTGAGCCTGAGCTGGCACCTATTGGTTGCCAGTATAGAACAGAGCAGAGGGAGCTGGGGCAACAACGCACAACCATTAATCCATTGATTCCAGTTGGCTACAAACTGTGTGTCTGTACCAATGGCCCAACATGCCGTAGGAAAAGTGTGGGAAAACCAGGGATATGCGTCGCAGCATCTCCTGCCTATCGGCTGGTCCGAAGGCTTCCCACATGGTCCACCAGTTAACAAATGATGAAACCTCTGACATGGACTGCTCATAGCGACGCAGGAGCGCCATAATACTGCCCATGGGCAAATCAAGGCTCCTCCAGTGTCGAAGCTTAATCTCCAGAGTGACCTGCAGAATTGTCCTATGCAGAGCATCCTGCATATAGCACACACGAGAAATCTTGTTAGCTCCGTGCCAAGTGCAGAGATCCATGGCATGAGTGCAAGGCACACTGGTATACCCTGAAATAAAGGGGGAGTGATAGAGCGAGGGGGAAAACAAAGGTTACCGCCATATGGCTGTGCCTGAGAATAAGGGCCATGCAACCGGAGTACCAACCCCCAGGGGAACAAAGTGAAGTCGAGCCGAGACGCTTAGTAGTAGTAGTAGTAGTANNGAAGTGGAAGTGGAAGTGGAAGTGGCAGTGGAAGTGGAAGTGGAAGTGGAAGTGGAAGTGGAAGTGGAAGTGGAAGTGGTGGGTTTTAGTGGTAGTGGCAGTGGTAATGGTAGTGGCAGTAGTAGTAGTCGTCGTCGTGGTGGTGGTGGTGGCGGTGGTAGTAGTAGTGGTAGTAGTAATACCTTAGCAGGATTTGCTGGCATTCAACGATGTGTCGCTCCATCCTGCCGCGAAGCCCCTGGACATCCTGCCTCCTTCGTCTTATCGCTCCAACTTCGAGTGCAGAGCATGGTAATGCTGATTGCAGGCAGTTGATGGAGAGGTTTGCATGGTATTGGTGGTGGACTTCAATCATTTGGGGATGGGTGAAGAAGTGCTGAACGACTTGTTGTGAGGTGACACATTTAGTCGTCATCCGTTGGATGTGAGCAGGGATGCTGAATTCCATATTTCGTCGGGAAAGTGCTTTCCCTCATCAGCCCGCCGCAGCACCAACTTCCTGTGAAGGTCGAAGGTAGACCTTTCTTCTTGGTAAGCACGCTTGCCGCTGCAAAGCAGCTGTGCTATTACAAGCCAGCCGGAAGGCAAAGACGCTTGCCCTTGACATCGGTTTCACTGCGTTGCCGAAGTCGCCAATCGGCTTTTCTCTGGTTATAGCTCCATGATTCCGCTCTGAGCATGAGGAACAGATGCCGATGAATACTTCTGTGCTTAGACCTGAGTTGGCACTCATCGCGAATACGTGCGACCTGCGGCTTCAAGGCCCTTCAGTGCAAAGATTTGTCTAGAGTCTAGCAGCTTTTAGGACTTGGTGTTCCGAGTTTCAACCGCTAAAACGGCATTCAGCTTGGCGATGTGCATGCAAAATTCGATGCAAAGGCTTGGACCGAGATCTCATGCAGAAAACTCGACCAACAGCAGAATAAGTTTGCACGTTCTGAGAGAATGATGCGTGCGAGATCTTGATAGCATACCATGACCTCGTTTGCGCATGGTCTTCGAGGTCTCATCTGAACTGCATCGCTAATTCGGGGATTTGCACAGGCTGATAGGTCAGCCAGATATCTACAGGAGCTGCCGCCCGGCAGCTGATGGCATCAGGGAGGCACATGCAGCGTACGCAGGAAAAGGATGTCTCAAAGATGCATGGTCAATCTTGTCGGGAGAGTTACAGTCAACCCTCTTGTTTCCGAGCCTGTCTGAAAAAATGACGCCGGGTTTCCTTTAAGGAATCGTATGCTGGGTATGCACGGGCCGAGCAGGCCTTGGGGACATGTGAAGCTAGATGATGCTGTCTGTGTAGTCATGACAGCTTTGCAGCACGGAGGGAAGACGAAATATCGGATACTCCTACAAATTAGGTTCCCAGGCAACCGCAACACGGCTGCACCTCCTGAGCTTCAACGTCAGCAACCGATGCAACTCAGGGGCAAAAGTCCGCAAGACTTGGTGCAGACGTGACTAGCAGATGTTAAGATGGCAGAGAAAGCTAGTATTTCTGTTAGGGGCGGTCTGACTGCGTTTTGGCCGCTCACAATGCTCCAGCGGAGACTCTGGGAGCCAGTGCGACATGCGTCTAGCACGAGGTTTTTTGCTGCGTGTTTCAGTTTGTCTTGGTGTAAGGAGGCCAGCATGTGTAGACATGCAGTCAAGCAAGGCCAAGAACATGCACGTAAAGAAGCCGAAGCAACTTTGCTAACTTATGGCATGGGCTCGTGCCTTTCTTGGCTTCTTCTTGGCTGTTTTCTTGGCTTCGCCGATGAATGAGGAATGCACGGGTTACGTGCCTGTGCAGTTGGACTTTGTCGTCTTGCCTGATGCCGGATGCGATGGATAGCAGTCCTGCAACCATTGCCGAAATCCATTTGGAGCTTGTCTCGAAAGCGTCAAAGCTCATGTGCCCGGCAGCGGAATCTGCCATGTCGAGTTTTGCTCCTTGTACCGCATGAGTACTATTTACTAGTAGCTTGACGGGCAAGCTTGCGACAATGCAAAAGCCATTGAAACAACTGTCAGCCATCAGCTACATGTATCACGAATGGGCGAATTCGGCGTCTTCGTGCGGCAATCTCTTTGGGGAGATAATTAAGTACGAAGCATCCAGTCACACCATTTCGGGAAGCCAGATCTATAGGGACACATGGCATCCTTTCTCGTAGCCGTGCTCGACGTATAGGAGGCCGGCATGACTAGGCATCAATGCTTGTCATTCTTCCAACCTCCAGCGTGCTGCATCGCTAACAGCTGCAAGTAGTAACCATGAATTGGGACATGGCTCACATGACCCTGGAGCTGCGGAGGACCAAGAGCAGATGTAGCACCATGCAGACAGACATATTGGGATGAATGCCTGATTGTGTATGGACCGTGTGAAGACGATAGTGCGGATCCCGATCGTCGCACCTTAGCAAGCACGCAGCCCACCAGAGGTAGTCGACTTCAATACTTGTCTTCTGCTAGCAGTCGAGTCTCCGAAATGCCGGAGGGCTCTCATCGCCATGACGCACTGTGCTCGCAAAATGTGGGCAACAGCCTGGGATCTCGCAGCTTGGTTAGATCCGGAAGCACGCCCGTAAGCCTGGCATAAACGAAGCCTTGTGTGCATTCGGACCCTGTGCGCTGTGGCAAGGACCGTGCGTCCGACAGACTCCGCTATATAAACGCCATGAAAGCGGAAATGCGATGAAGGCACGAGCGAGTGAGTGTGTGTGTGTGTGTCTGTGTGTGTGTGTCTGTGTGTGTGTCTGTGTGTGTGTGTCTGTGTGTGTGTCTGTGTGTGTCCGTGCCTGTGTCTCTGTGTGTGTGTGTGTCTGTGTGTGTCTGTCTGTCTCTGCGTGTGTGTGTGTGTGAGTGAGTGAGTGAGTGAGTGAGTGAGTGAGTGAGTGAGTGAGTGAGTGAGTGATTGTGTGTGTGTGAGTGAGTGATTGTGTGTGTGTGTGTGATTGTGTGGGTGGCTGTGGCTGTGGCTGTGGCTGTGGCTGTGGCTGTGGCTGTGTCTTTGTCTGTGTCTGTGTCTGTGTCTGTGTCTGTGTCTGTGTGTCTGTGT